ATTACAAAGTTGGAAGAGCTGCGCATATTTGCATGCGAGAGTTTTGGTGTTCACGCCGACTCTGCCTACTCTGGAATTTCTGTTTGTTGAAGAGCCACCACTCTCTCGAGCTAGACCCAAACGTGAAAAGAGAGATTTGGTTTGAAGTTTTGTGAATTACTGTTGCTATCTTAAGTGTTAATCATGTAGCTGGTAGGATAAGTTTCACTCTTTGAAAAAATAGAGCAGTTTCAGGAATCTTGTGTTTTTGCCAGATGCTAGTGACTGGTAGTTTTGCGTTGTGTAATTTTAACTTAACCGCCAAAAATGGTAGGTAAAATAAAATTAATATATATTACACGTATGTATATTTGTGTGTAGTATTTGTTTGAAACGTTTATCTTCCTTAATGGTCAGAACTCACCCTCGGAATCAACTTAACAACTAAAGCAAATAAGATTACTATGTAACACATATCGGGAGTTTGCCTAATCTTTGTAAGATGGCTAACAAAGATTAGGCAAACTCCCGATATGTGTTACATAGTAATAGCAAGCCGTTTCTAATCTAAAAATGTCTTTTTCCATATTCGAAATCTACTTTTTTTAATTTAAAAAGGATGCCTCGTCCATCTCCGCATCTACGACAGAAGATCTGTAATGGTAAATAAGTATATAGATGAGGTTCTGCGTGTCCACGTACTTCAGGTTAGAGGCTATTTTAGTGTCAGTAGCTGATGGATTGCTCAAAACCAATTGCCCGGCAATTACTGAGGAATTTTCCGCGCCAAAAATGACAATTAAAAGTCCTGAAATGTCGCATTTACAGTCGGATAGCTTTGACCAGCAAGCTGATTAGAAATTCGTCTGCTTAAAACGCTCTTCCAGTCTCAAACTAGGCAGTGCTAAATATTCATCAACTGCATTAACCCGATTCAAATCTATCGACTATTCTCTATTTCCAGCTTTCGTATAAATAATGAATGATATGTCGCATTCGCTACCGTATTCTGTGTATGAAAACATGCTCAAGTATACGTTTTCATACTAGGTAGCATATTTATTATTATAAATATTTAGAGTTTATTATTATAAATAATTGTTATATACAGTTTGTTATTATAAACATTCAGATTAATTAAACTTTTTGTAAAAAATATCTGTTAGCTTAGTATATGAAAGTTTTCTATAGATGCACCCTAATATTTCTGATCAATTTTTAAAAACTTTAATTATAGCTTCATTTATTTTGATTCTGAATTCTCATCCTTAAACATACGGATCATACCTTACAAGATTACAGCTCTCTTTTATGTTTCTGTTCTGAATTGCAAAGTTGCCAAGTATTCATTAATTCATTAAAAGTATTGAAATTTAGGTAAATTATTAGTAAAAACACGAAAAAGAAAATGATTTCTCTATCAGAATGTTATCAGTATATATTAATTAGAAGGAAATTCATGAACTAATTAATTTTTCATCGAGATAATTAATTAGCTCTCTTTTCAGTCCGTAACTTAAGGTTTACTTTTCCAATTAAAATTTCTGAAAGATAAACATGACACTTATCAAATAATACACTGAATTTTATTCCATAAAATTATAAGTTTTCAAGATGTCTACTGTTGCGAAGACGCAGTTATTCTTCTGAGTCAGTTAAATATATGAAAGATACATTAAATATATTACATACAACGAGTCTTTGTATGTGCTATACATGGCTTACTATATCAAATTTGCTGTGAATGCACCTTATCCTTTTATTTGTAACAATGTTTCCCAATCATATGACCTAATGTTTCAATTAGCAGCACTTGGAGTTTGTTTATATATTTTAAGACATCATCATCTCCTCATTCTACTGTGTGAATTTCCTTTGTTTTGGCTTGCTCTAAATGAAAATGTTAATTCATTTGTGATGGAGTTTTCACAACTACATAACGTTTCAGAAAAGTGCAAAAATTAAAAACCGGAATTTTTGTTTCATTCAGGTATAATTTCTAGATTCCTCAATAGCACATTTAAATAGATTTTTGCGAATACTTGCAGAAATATTTCTGTTCGTGAAATGAATTCCAAGGCTATCATTTTAAGAGAGAAGATAACTTTGTGTAGAGATTTCTCAAAGAAAATGGCTCACTTTCACTTTACATATGGCAAAAGGTATGAAATACCCATGAGGTCAATTGTTCTTAGGATTTGAATTCAGTCTGAATTTATCGGCATTCATTGGTTTTATCAACTTGCACATGGCTACTAAATGAGAACAAAGATAATGATTTTTCTCACCCTGGGGGATCTTCTCAGGACTGATTTTATGGCCTTCTTGTTGAAGATTTTTTCCCTGTTTCTTCCTGTATACTTCTAAATCTCCAATAATATTTTCAGACGAAATTTCATCTTTAGGCTAGTCACACAGTAAATCATTCTCATTTCTTCATTTGAAATGTGACATGATAGCCACTTTTTCTTTACGTGAATGGTTATGAAGTTAGTTCTAAATTCGAATCAAGGTGAATGGGCTGGCAGTATGGTACGTTTTTGTGGTTTTCTCCATATCTAACGAGTATAACAACCAGTTTTCATCCGAAAGTCACCATGAAGGCATTCTTCCCTCTTAGACAGATATCTGTTGTGAGATTTGTCGAATGGTAATAACCATAACCTTCACCTGCGCTCACTAACGGTCCAGAGAAAAAATTGCTGAACACTCGTATTTCGATCTGTGTTCAATATCGCAGCGAATGGTTTCGTTATTATGGCAGTTTTCCCGGGTTTCTCCATGTGTAACGTGAATACGAATCAGGTTCCTTTAACCCATTTTTTTGCGGAAGCATTTTGTACCTTGAGCAGGTCGCAATAGTAGGCTTTGCTATAATCCAAATAACTTTATTTAGTCTATTTTTACTTCCTTGTACGAAGTAAAAAGGAAGTATTGTAATCGCGAAAAGCTTCAAGCAGCATATTTCAACGAAAATATCCACTTTGACCGCTTTCGAATGCAATTTAACGATGTTTTTGCGCGATATCTGTACGTAAGGACAGAATAAAAGACTCTTTTCCTCCAAAAAAACTAAAAAACTAATTTAAAATGAATTCTGAAGAGAATTTTTCGTGGCGTCTGTACGAACGTATGTACGTAAGTGCGTACGAACGTACGTACGTATCTCGCATAACTCAAAAACGAGTAGCCTCAGAACGTTGACATTTTGTATATAAGACTACTATAACATGTAGATGTGCAGCTCGTATTTTGGTTTCAATCGGCCGCGCCAAACGTATATAAATATCTTTATAAAATATATCCACTCTGTTACCCGGCTCAGTAATCTCAGTTTCTTTACTCTTATATGTTTGTAAATTATACATTTTTTTCTTTAAAAATGATTGAATTATGTTGTTTTTATCTTCCGGTTAAGGTTTTTATGCCTTTCGTAATTCTGGAAGCAATATTTGTACAATTATAAACAATTTAAAAGCTGTTTAAGTGTGGTTCAGTTTTAAATAACATGGCGGACATATTTGTTTACATTTGAAACAGCAGAATTGTAGATTTGTTGCCAATCTAGAGAGACTAAACTTCGCAACACAAAAATAACGCCTTCATTTATTATTGCAAATTAAATCATGCTTTATCCTTTGTGGAAATTTTTTTCGAGGAAATAAGTGTTTAAGATTTACTTTGTAATTTTTAATACAGATATTTTGAGTTTTTATGTATTTTTGCCTTGTCGCGAAGTGAAAACTGAATTAATTGAATGAGAAACACTCAATCGTCTGTGAAAAACTGTTTCTTTTTTGTTTGTTTGCTTAATTTCTTTTATACATAGTTCTAGCTTTATTATAGTATTTGAATAGAACATGTGGCAACGATAAGATAATTCTTTAAATGCTATAAATTTTGTGCATTCTGAGTTATAATATGAACGAAACATAATACTGTTAAGTAAACCTAGCGCCAGAGTGTCGCTATGGTAAACAAAGTGAATTTTAAAGAATGCATTTATTCTATTGTGGTTTAGCGCTGTCGGGCGAAGTAGTTTAATTCAATCTAATAAGTTTAAATGAAATGCAAGAAAAAATGCGTATAATTTAATATTCCGTACAAAGAAGTCATGTGGTGTACACATCAGATTTTTTAATTTGTAAAAACATCTACTTTCTGTGGAAAGATAACTGTGTGAGTGTGAATATCTTTACTTTCACAGAGATTTAAATAATTGTTATCATTCATCGCATTACTTTTGCAAGTGCTTATCCAAGAGATAAGAAAGCTACTGCATTAAAATGGTTGTAAAAGAAAACCCAAAAGTTATCACACTGGAAATTATTGCCTAACTTAGTTTTTAATTATTAGTTATCGTGTTCTTTTATCTAGTATACGAAATAAAAAATTTCAGCTTTATAGTTTGGAAACTGCTCATTTATACCTTGTCTGTTCTAGCCATAATTTTATTTGACAACCTCAATTATTTGGCAAACGTAGTATTTATATAAATAAAATCCAACATAAATAATTTTACAATGTTAATCAAACATATTCATTGTATATTACTACATATCTGTTTAGTTTCTGAAGTGTCGTTAAAATGATATTTGTATCCCACTACGATAATTTTTTCATTACTCTTAGAACTGGAAAAATGACTTGTATGGTAAAATATACTGCTGTGAAAAAAATTACATCATTATTTGCTAAATACAAAACTAATAAATATAAAAAATTGTGAGAGAACTTGAATTAGATTTTACTAAAATTTACCACTCTTTTCAAAAGGGAAAATTTTAAGAATTATCAATTCATTTCATATGATAAGAATATAATTTATAAAGCCAAATTTGGACTTCTGCTGCACGTATAATTCAATCAATTACAGTGTTTTTAAAATAAATTGCTTTTAAAGCAATAACGGCAGAAATGAATTTATGAGCGCACGTGGTAGACAGGAATGTGCTGTTTTGCTCAATTTTAAAATTTCTTCATGCATGCGCTCTGATTTAATTTGGACTCTTTCCTTTCAGATCCTCCATCTGTGCGTGTACAACCTGCTGAAGGCCTCATTGTCAATGAAACGGGAGAGGCAGTTCTATCTTGCAATTTCAGTGCCAATCCTCCCAACGTGACCGAGGTCACATGGTACAAAGACGGGAAGCAGATGCAGCCCTCAGCTCCCTTGACCATTTCATCGCCTCTGAATCAGAAATCGTCTTCCAGCTCCTCTAGCGGATCAACTTTATTTGTTCCCAGTCCCCAATTGATTTTGAGGAGGGTGTCCAGATCCGATGCGGGCTCTTATTCTTGTCACGTAAGGAACGCCTTTGGGAGGGGTAATTCCAGCAATGCTGTCACCCTCGACGTACTCTGTAAGTATCTCAATGTACCAATTATTTGGATTATTGCAATTCCATTCGCAGCCTCTGATGCATTTCCAAGAAATGAACAAACAAACCGAAACCGAGTTTAATTCAGTAATGCACACATTGTGAGCACTTTTTGACTTTAACCTGTGATCAGTTTGATGAGCTACAGACATAAGTTGAATAAACTAAGTGGCATAGCTAACTGCTTATCAAAATCAATACCTTATAAAACGTATATAATTATTATATGAAGCCTGTAAAAATAGCAAATGATATCCGACAATAATTTTTCGATTACAATCAGTTAACTACAATTTAACAGCAAGAGATGCAAAATAAGAAAAATCTTAATCTAAGGCTTTCATTTCATAGAACTCACGATAATAATGAAATATGATGTATAACAGATCTTCTCATATCAGTTTTTTTCAATTTACATTGTCGTTACAATGCAGGTACTGAAGGACGACTAGAAACTGTTTTCTTGTGCAAGCGTAAGGAAAACACTTATTTATCCTGAGTTGCTTAGCCTTCAACTCATATTCAGTTCTTATTTGTTTGTAAATTTATAATGACAGGTGAAATGAATTTGTTTTCCTTTTTGGCAACTGTAGAATTGTACTCCTATAAATGCTTTACAGCAACTGAAATTGAATTATAAAACATTCTTGAAACTTATTAAAAAAGGCTTTCTTCCCCTTCTAAATTATAGTTTTCTACAAATAGTAGCTTTTCCGTTATGAAATGACGGTATTAATGATATAGCAAGGAACATGAGCTATTTCTGTTTGATTTTAAATATTTGAATTTTATTTGATTTTTCTTTAACGTTGTTCGAGCAGTATGACCCCATACGTTTCAGGCGTATAAAGTTGGAGAGCAAGTACCGTCTTGTAAATAGTAAGCCCGATTCTCTATCAAATCGAATAAGGGAACGTGACTTTATAATTAGTAATTTTGACTAAGTTCACTGATTTTCAACCAAATTTCTAATAATCTCGAAAAGGCAGATAATTTTTTTAGAGGAGAGTTGGCTAAAATTCACTGAAGTGCTCTTCTCTGTCATTTAGACAATTCATATGCTTCTAACAATATTTTCTGGAACCTGTTTGCCTTCTGAATCTGATGAATATTATAATCATTTCATTTGTTTGACGTTCTGGAACTGCTCTCCATATTTAATAAAACAATTTACTAATTTCTCTTTTGATTTAACCTCACTTCCATTAAAACCAAGCTTTTGTGATCTTGATTTCTTCTTGATTGATCTTGATTGATTCATTTGTTCCTCAGAAATTTTCCAATTACGCTGTCGTATCTGCCATGCCCTCTGAATTGGACTACCCAGGCGTTCGTATTTTTTGTCTCAAAAACATTACTTAGTTATCCTCTTTTGTGGTAAGTAAAATCGCGGTATGAAAGATTTTGCCTCAAATCACTTTATCGACCCCAGTTTCTACTGTTAGGATAAGCAAAATAAAATTCTAGCTCAAATCAGTTTCCTTAGCTACTTACTAATACTTAGGCTAAGTAAAATCAAGGTTTTGTCTCAACTCAAATCCCATACCTTTGGAATGTGGGAAGTAGTGTATAAACTAATTCTAAACTGAAACTAATTTTTTTGGTTTATAACATCCTATTAATTGTATCGGAATCTTAAAATTCATAGTTTTAAGTATATCAAAATAACTTGTTTTCCAAAATAAAAGTCTTAAAATTTAGGATTCCTTTTAAATTGCTTTACAAATCGTTGCTATCATTATCTTTAGAACAAAGAATAATTAAATTAAACCTTTCTACATTTTCCAATGTTGAGTGAGTATTTTTCACTCAGCAGTTCGTATAAATGTTGTGAATAAACATGTCCGAGAAGAAGAGTAAAAACATAAATAACCATGCATTCTGAACCTTTTCTACAACTCCAAGCAGTAACAGATTTTACAATTGAAAACATCCAAAGCAAATCCGGATATTATCTTCATCAATTTACATCCAAAATATAAATAGCATTGCCAATATAAAAGAAGTGTGGCAACACCCAACATTTTGTAAACGTAAACATTGGTAATTTGAGTGCGTTTACGCCATACACGTTTTTCCTCTTTGCCTTTTCTAATATAATGTTGCGTGCGTACGGGTTCGTTATGAAATGAATGCACAAGTCCATGAAAAATGAACAAAAATTTATTATTATCACAACAAAAATGCTTAAATTTTCTCAAATTATCATGCAGTATTACAATATCTCACAGTAGTTATCTTTTAACTACTCAAATGTCCAATAGAACGTAATTCAAAACAGCTAAAGAACGCTAATCCGCGAATTCGCTACAATCAACAACAGCAGTTTTCTAAACAACAACAAACTAAACAACTGCTACAAACTGAGATGTTTTCCTCCTTTTATAAGATTTTAAAATCACGCGCTAGAATTTTCCAGCACTTTCTCGAAATCAAAAAGAGATATTTATTTATTTAACGCACGCGCTCTTGTATTTTTAATTTTTTTTGGCTTAGCTTTCTTTTAATATTCGTCACGCGCTGCACTGCGCGAGAAATAAAACCATTTAATTTATAATTGAACTAACATTAGCTTTTTAAATACGAAATTCGTAACAATAATATAGTTTCTTGTTTAGTGAAATGCTGCAGCCTGTATCAGTTAATTATTGTAAGAAGGATATATAATTAAGAAACCAGAACAAATCTTTGAAATTTCCTTCTACCCTTTCACAATATATTGTTTATAGTTCTTTGTGATCGTAATTTTGAATTTATTTCACATGAACAGTCATGGCTCTTTCCATATGTCATGTAAAACATAGACAGAAGACTGTACACTCTAGTTACATGAAACAAAAATATCACATCGAAGTATATTTTAAACAAATATTATGAAATAAGGTTTTGTTACAAATACGTTTATTGGAAATGCCAGATATCATTCCATTGAAAATTTGTTTATGAAGAAAATCTGCTTACATCGTAGCTTAAAAGAGTCACTATCATATATTCTAAGTGTCAGCGTAATATATTAACAAAGGAAAGGTCAGAGAAATTATAATTAAACTGTGCAGCAGTTTAAATAGAATGGTGAGCAATTTTAAAAAAGAAATTTGAAAATAAGCTTCTTCTACATTGCTGTAGAATTACATTGTAGAGCCATTAGGTATTTTTTGGAAGCAGGAGAAGTGAAAAATGAGCAACGCCTTCGACGGGAATCGAACCCCGGACTTCTAGAATACGCGCCCAGCATGCTAAGAAGGCGGGAGAAATACCTTATAACATAATTCATATTATAATGCTTTAGCCATTGCATTTCACTAATACTGTGTATTTTTGAAATAGAAAGCTTAAGACAACTGCTGATCAAGCTACTGAATTGATATAATTTTTCAAGCTACAACTGTCCACTTCTTATCTATGTATCACATTCTAATTACCTTCACAATGTTTCCCATTTTTTTACATTATTATTTTGTTGCAATAAGATTACCAATGGCCTCTAAATGTTATATGATATTATAGGCCTCAAACGACTGTTATTTAATACCGCCTTACTCCTAAATGAGTCATTTCATGAATTTATCTTTTTTGCAGATTATATATAAACCTTGGAATTATCCTTGCTATAAATCCTTGCAATATTTTAATAATTTTGAATAATAATGCATTGAAATTAGGACTATTTTTAATTTCACTTTTACATATGAGTGTGTACATGAAGAGGGTACACATTCACAAAATACATGCATTCGTTTTATTCACAGTTAAAATTGATTTATTTTTAAACAATAATATTATGAACACTAGATATTACTTATCCACGCATAATTTAGAGGAAACATTCCTCGAAGGAAATTTAAAATCACTACTCAAGTAAACAAGTAAATAAGAAAACAAGATTGAGTTATAGATAGTATTCATAGTTTTATATATGTAATAATAAAATTCCATAGTCAAGAATACACTTAAAATTCTAACTGTATGTATGTTCTTTTCATTTTTAATGGCGACGGTCTCTTATTTGAAAGTACGTGGAGTTAAATCCACAGCCCCTTAGTCAAGTTGTTTTTCCCGCTTTTTCTACACGTACAGATATATTTTTCTGGAAATATTTAAAGCGAACTGGATTGGCTGACGAGGCTGACGTCATTTCTTGGAAGCTCCGCCTTTCCAGAGGCAAAAAAAAGGACTCGCTAAGGAATATCGGGAGCTTTTTCTTAAATGTCACGATGCAGTAAACTTCATACAAAAAGTTATTAGTAATTCGTTTTATTTACTTCGGATATCTGATTTTGTAACTGCTATTCTCCTGAATAATAATAAATGGATCCCGTTTTTTAAACTTATCGTCTGATAATTTAAGCTACGACTACATTTATGATTCTTCACCAATCTTTTATTCTGGACAAAACCTGGTATATCACACACACACACACACATATATATATATGGCAAACTTAGTTTATGAGCATTAGGGGGCTAAAATATATAACGCGATTTACTTGAATACGATTTCTATTTTGCTACCATAGCCTGAACCCGAACCCACACATTTTCGAGGCCTTGATTTAAAATATTCTCTGCTAAAATGTATTCCTTTTTATCGGTAATTTAATTTTACTAGCTAGCTTTTACAGTTCTTTTAGAGTTGTGTTGTTGCTATTTATATTTTTGGCCTTGGCAACAGTAAGTGTTGCTAGGCGACCGCAAACGATTCCAAACAAAGGTTTGATATTTTTAATCATAATTTCTTCAGAACTTTTTGCCATTTTAGCGCGATACGTGTTATTGTTTACAGTAAACTTAAAAATTCATTTCGGGCAAAAAATGGAAGTGACTTCGTGAACATATTCGTGTGATTATTTTTCATAACTTTTGGCAGGGATTATCAAGATAAGTGTGCCTCGATGAACTTAATTCTTTATACAGCAATAAAGCACCATTCTACAGCACCGTAAAAAACTTGTGGTGCTACTTTGGTAGACGGTTGCACGGAT